TTATAACTTTGAAAATAAGATATCAAGATGTTATTTAGCAGTTTAGCTGAAAATCTAATAAGAAAGCAATGAAATTTTATCACCTATCACTTTTATACAAATATTTGAATAGTTCCGTTATAGACAATTAAAAGTAATTATCGACGCGAAGATGGGGGAGAAGGTGTGTTGCTCAGGTGGTGTTTCGTTCTCTGAGCTAGATGAAATCCAATGGTTTATATAACTGACTTCGGTGACTTCGTGATATTGTGCCACAATCTTCAATTGCCGGTGGTGGATAACTGTTTCATTCTCAAAATTGTAGAACTCTAGTAATTAGGTGGAGTTTTGCTCCATGAGCTGAATAGTTTGGTTGTGGAGCTTTCATTGTTCTTCTGAACAATATCATCAGCACAAGCTTCAAATAGAAGTGAAATTACTTGAATTTCTCCATGTGTGACTTACAGCTTGTCTTGTCGACCTCGATCTTGATTAGTTATTGTTGACCATTAACCTGTTATTGTTTACTTCTTCATTTTGATTGTATCTCCCGTTGATTTAATTCTTGGTCTTATATTTTTCCATGAATTTTCTAATTGGTCGATAGACTTGGACGACTTCGATGTGTTTGTTGGTTACTGATTCACCTCAGTGTCAAGCTTCTAAAAATTCTCTAGTGCTTGTAGTATACCCTCTATCCAAGATGTCAACATTTTTCTAGTCGAATGTGTGTCCATATTTAGCAACATGAATTGGTATAAGCGAAGATAAGCCACGGTGCTTGACAGTTAGTTTGTGCTCATATAGGTGAAGATGAAAGTGACATCCACTTTGGAACAGTTTGTTTTGTAGATGACGTTCAGCCTATCTCCTTTTGTCGTTTCGTCCTTTGGTTTGCATAAGGTTGATTAAAGTGAGCTTTCATATTTGCGTATTACACCTATTCCAAATGGCTTCAATAATCGTGCTGTAATTTCTGATGTCTTTTATATATGGAAGGATGACCATTTTTACTTGTTTTTATACTTGATTTCGTTTCTGCTGATGAGCTGGATTGATATTTCTTGACAAATTTACCTGAGTAGTCGTTCCTCTAAAGAATAGCTATCAGACACGTTTTTTCATTCTTTGATGCTGCAAGTGTGCTGCAGTGGGTTCGCACCCTCTTGAATAAGGCTTGTACGCAGTTGATTTTATGAATAATTGGACTGTTTCTGAATTCGATCTGTATGGGTTGGCTTATTGATTTGAATCCCCATAATATTATCCCAGAATTGTATGGGAGACTTAATCGGATGGTTGAATGAATCCACTAAATGTTTCAACAATCTTGTCATTTCTCTCGACAAATTGTGGAATCCAGGACGGGCGTTTCATCCTATTTGGTACTCGTCAACTAGATGTACCTGCATCTTAGTGTTGATGTTCCCTATGAGAGTCTGGCATTTAAAAAGCCACATATAAATTATGGATATTAAATTAAGATTCTAAATTATCTTTCAAATATTATATAGAGAGATTTGACTAATTAGAGAATAAAAGGTAAAAGAAATTTTTTTGAAGATAAAAACACTGACATAATATAACAAGTGAATTCATTAGATGAAAACAAAAGAAAAAAAAAGAGTCGATTAAGTTTCTTTTGTTTTTGTTATTCTCGGTTATTTCACTTGTTATTTTTCTTTTATTCTGAATTCGTTTTAGTAACAAAATGACCTTTTCTCATTGTTTCCTCACATATGTATATGTATTGTGTGTATATGTATATATGTTTATATGTGTGTGTATTTGCAAGAGATACTTATACACACATACATACACATATAAGTATCGATGATGTCATATACTGAATATTGTCCATAAATAACTGCTAACTTATAAATTTTTGTACAGAAAAACAACTTGAAACGATTACAATGTTTATTTACCACATAAAGTTATGTGTGTATAGTAGTTGAATTCATAAGTCAATTAAACCTAGACCACCATGGTAAGCGTGAAAGCACTGGATCACCGTTTCGTCCTAGTATAAGATTAGATGGTGACTGGAGGTAGTCAACAGGAAACCCTAGACCCGGGTTTCGTGCTACTTGGCACTCTTCATCAAAGTGTACCTATAATCTTGAGGGAACTGGTGCTCCCTGATGGATTTAATCCCGTGTCACACAGTTTCACAGTCAGAGACGTTAACACTGGGCTGTCCGGGTCGTGATCGACCTCCTGTAGGACTGAGATGTAATCACAATTGATAGATTACTGAGTGGTGATCAATGTCATGTGTGTCAAGTGCTTATTAGTGCAGATCGAATGCTATCGACTATGTTGCAATGTGGCCACCAGTCTAAATGACTCGACACTGCATGCACTATGTTGATATAAGATGGTGGTTGGAGGGTAGTAGACAGGAAACCCTGGACCCGGTAGTAGTATAATATTCCTCAGCAGCGTATATTACACAAGTTGAAATGATTTTTTGCTAAGTGTCTCCACTATCTACTTTTATGTCTCACAATCATAATCACAAAATAAATGGACTAGGATACTTGAAAAATATAAAACTCACACTCACACATATACATTAAACTAATGTAAAATGTAATAAATTCTGGGTGGTTTGAAAAAGTAGATTTGTTAATGTTTTGTATCTGTAGAGAAATGCTAATATATAAGGACACAGTTTATGTTATAGGAAGGGAATTCATTGAATCATTGCTTAAATTATAGTTTTCAAGAGTATACTCACATACACACATACACACACACTGTACTATTTGACTACCTTTCACGCCTTAGCGCTTAACCAGACTTCGTTTTTGAATGAATTATTGGTGAAAGCAAAATGAATCATTGTTTTGTTTTTGGATAACAGTCAATTCTACTGTTTATATACTGAAGACAATATCTAACAAGATAAATTTAAACTACTTTTTCTTCATGAAATAAATTACAATTAAACGAAAGAAAGAATCTATTATATCTAGAGCGTAGATTCTTAATATACCACGTATAACTTAAATACTTGAACTCTAGAACCCTCTCGCAAATGAGAAGACAGAAGACAAGTGAAAGGAATGCTATTTCAAACAGTATCAAATATGATACAAAACTCTGAGGTATTTGTAGATTTCTAGTAAAAGCATAATCATCATTATAATTCTTTAATCCTCATACAGGGGGTTATTAGTATCTGCCCAATAGGGAATCTAGAAGTAGGGTTTCTGTAATATTCTTCCAAAAGATGATTGGATGGAATAGCTCCGGTTCTTTATAAGCCTCTTAGAACTTCCTAGAGTTCACCCGTCGCTCGTCCTTACAGTGTCATGTCCTCTTGTTAGAGTTTTATTCTCCATCTATCTCTCGCTTCAACCGAATGAAACGAAACCAATTTCTTGTAAAACTAACAGCTGAAATCATGCTTCTTGAAAAAAATACGGGTGAAATTCTGTTCTTTTCTCTCCACAATTTTATTTGATACTGATCGTTAAATTATTGTAGAAATACATTTGCTTTTAAATAGAGTGGTTAATAATGGAATCCAGAATGCATGTTTTATCCTATATGGAGCCTAATAGCTGGATATATCTATATCCCAGTGTTGATATCCATATTAGGGACTTGAATCCTGCACCTCTCAATTCAAGTGCCAATGCATTATGCACTGCATCACTAGGTTTAGATGGCAGCAAACTTATTCAACAGGTACGAAACCAACAAAGATTGATTAAAAGTCAGTCCTAAACATTAGCAATGAAATGATCCAAATCATCTATTTGTCAAAATAACAGTTTTCTTAAAAGCATCTAGAAGTGGACTGGGATATTCGTTGTCTTGAATATTCCTTTGTAAACCAAAAAATAAATCCATAATCACTTTATCTCCGTTAAATGTTTCATCACTGAACAGTTTTATTTACTGAATATCTATTCATAGGGTCAGTTGATTATCAATGTTGCCATCCAAAGTTTGTTCATTTAGGATTTAGAGGTTTCGCCTTGTAATCATTCTCTTGAATGTAACCACCCTGAACAGTTGACTAATTTCATAAAATCTATTTCACCTCTCATAAACAATTCAATACATTAGATAGTTCAGGAATACTATATTTCAATTTTTCAAGTATAGTCAGTTTATATTACTTATAACTTATCTACATCAATTGAGTAAACTTGAATGCTTTTTACAAATATGGTAGTTAAAATAAAATTGACAGAAAACCCTGTACCTAAGTTTTGTGCTAGTTAGAGAAGAGTATCTGCCATCTCAGAGAAAATGATTTATTTATTTATTTGAACACAAATATTGGTACAAAGGGGCACCGAATACACATGCGCCACACAAGTCACTTGATTTGTGTGTGGGATATGATACTGCCCGAATGTCCAAAACAAAGAAGGTGGCTTTATTAATGGGCCACTCCTCGAACCTTTGACCTAAAGGTGTAATCCATAAGGCAATGGAGCTGGTGATCAATAATTGGTTCATGAGCCATTTGTTCCTTCAGAATCCTGGAGCCAATATGCACTATTGGTCTGGAATGAGGATTTCCCAACTTCCCTAGGTGGATCCTCCGTGTCCACCAACCTGGTTAAGGTGCCGGACGTTCGCTTTCTGTCCTTTCAATTTTGCAAACAACCCCGCCGAAAGAAGGCAGTGATTAGGACTTCCCTGGTAGTGGCTGAATATGCATCGCCATGTAAGGTCATTTGTAGAATATAAACCAATATTATAGTCAAAGATGCTACCATTGAGAAATTCAGACCATGAATAATCTCCTGCAGAACATTGATCGATCCCTGAGTAAACATCAAAGTCGTGTTTACCTAAACCTTTATGTAGACTGAGTTTTGTCTTTTGAACTCCAAAGTATTCACTCATCTAAATGATTCAACATCACATGTATAAATCATCAAATATTTCAGGATTTCGATAACCATCATTAAATTTTCATTTATTTCTATATTACTTATTTTCTAATTAACAATTACTCTGTTTTGTTGTTTTATTTTTCACCTATTTTTCAGTCACATCATCCATCACCTAATGAATACGTTTACATTACAAAAATTATCTTTTGTTATTTTAACAACTTTTTATTTATCACTACCATGGATAATATCTATAGTGAATACCCTGCCAACAGCAAATAACAACGATCCAAATATTTTGTATCGTTTAACACCATCATCAGTATCATCAGCAGGAGCATCAGCATCATTATCACATCAAAATGGAGGAGGAGAAAGAATTTATCTACCGGAAGAACTTCTTGCACAAATATCAAATGAACCATATATCAATTCATTGTATTTACCAAAACGAGCTGCTTACATGGATTTACCATGGGGTAAACGTGCTTTAGCTAAACGTGCAGCTTATATTGATTTACCATGGGGTTAATTGTGAAATTTATTTAACATTTATATTCAATTACATACATATATACTTTAATAATACATACTAAAATATTCATTGAGAACAATCTATTCATCAGTCATTATAATTAATCATTGATAGACTAAAGGTGAAATGTGAGACTATTGGAAAATTATAACAAATTATAAATATACTGTCGTTTTAAAAATCGATATTTCATAATTCATTTGTTCTATGAAAACTTTATACTTTCAACAACAACAACGATAAAAAAAGCGACTGAAACAATCTTTCATAGTGTTCATTTTAAATAATGAATTAGTTCTTCAATCAAATAATTATTGTGTCCTTTTATCTGCCTTTTTGTTCAAGAGTTCTGACATAAAATTAATATTCTTTTTATCAGAAAGGGGGGTTAGTGGAGATTGTAGTGATTTAATAGTTGAATTCATGAGTTGATTAATGCTAGGCTATTATGGAAAACCTGGAAGTACTGAATGGTCGTGCTTAGTAGTGATTGGCTTCAAGAGGTATTTCCTGAAGTTCTAGTGAGAAGCCGTGATCAGTGGAGTTCAACCGGGTCTGTTATGAAGCAGTTGTTCGCTAAAAGTAATGGTGGGTGATGGCGCAATTTCGTGGATTGGTTCAAGTTAGACATTAACACCATTTGATGCCGACCAGCTTAGTGGTCTAGCGGTTAAGCGTTCGCACGCGAGACTAATAGGTCCTGTACTCGAGTCCCGCGAGTGGGATCGCGGATGAGCACTACTAAGGAGTCCCATGCTAGAACGAAACGGCCATCCAGTGCTTCCAGGTTTTCCGGGGTGGTCTAGTTTAAATAAACTCATGATTCTTCAGTTTCCACTTATAATCGATCTGGAATAACTTCGTATATATTCTCAGGTTAATCATTGGTGTAGAAATGCATGAAATTTCGCTTACGAAATCTAAAGGTCATTTATGAAGTATATTAGAATCGATTTACTGTAAACATATTAAAGTCAACAGATCACAAATTCGGCAATCAGGCCACCTAATGGAAGATAATGTGAAGAGCGTCATTTAAACATAAATCCTAATGTATATATAAATCACTGACTGACTGTATTTACAATCAATAAAAGAATATATAAAAGTGGATGATAAACAAGTACATTGTCATCCGCATATAAGCCTATACATAGGTGTCTAGACGTCTACATTATAATAAAGTGATCAGTGGGAATACACTGATATTTATTTATTTGTAACAGGATAGATTGTATGTATACATAGTTCAAAAGGCTTCCTACATAGTCACGGTAGAAATAGCTTAGTAATAACGTTCCAAGGTGTAAAGTTTAGTGACCTAGAATTAAATTTCACGAGGATCACCATCTTCCTTAAGATTTTATATAAACCTTATTGAAGTATATTAAGTAGCATAAAGCCTACGTCCACAGCTTCTAAACTATCGTACATGATTACTTTGATCCTAGATCAAATACTAATAGATTTTGGTCGTTTGGTAATGAAATACTCAAGTATACAATAAAATGAATTTATCATAATATTTATTTCATACTGATGTTTGGTATAATCTGGGTAACATATAAATAATATATATACTTATGATCGCATCAAGTCAATATTTTATGATGCTACATTACAACTGATGAAACTGATCATGATCAAATAACCGACATTGCCAACAGCTTCAATGCTGTAGTTATGTTGACTTCAGTCAACTATTGTTTGATTCTCTTCCGATTATTTCTTACGACTAAAAATGATAGAATATTTTCTGAGTAGTAGTTTTACTTGCCGAAATAACAATCAAAATTACTGAAATATTTCCAAATTACCTTCATTTATCAGAAGTAAGGTTGAGAACACCTTTAAAACAGTGCTAGGAAATTCTTCCAGTAGGTTGTATTTAATTTATATATGGTCGTTTTCTCGTACAGGAGTCTTTAAATTTTCCCAAACGAATCTGGGACTTGCAGTTTCGTCATATTGTAAGCTATTATAATTGCTCTCTCTCTCGCTTATTGTCTCTTTTTTGCTCGATTATTGAGCTATTTACTCGTTGACGTTATTTATCAACCAAGCTAGTTGTTTCGCAGATCGTAGCGAGAGTTTATCAATATCCATAAATTGACATATATTCTTGTATCGCTATTTCCCCTTCAACTCATAATATATTACAAAGATTAACAGGATACATATTATTTTAATAATTTCTTGAAGTAATTGATCCGGGTTCTCAATTTGTCTTTGTGTTGGGGTTAAAATATCTTAGGCGCAATGACTTACTTACTTACTTACGCATGTTACTCCCAATGGAGCATAGGCCGCTGACCAGCATTCTCCAACTCACTCTGTCCTGAGCCTTCTTTTCAAGTTCCATCCAATTCTTGTTCATTTTTTTTCATGTCTTTCTCCATTTCTCGGCGTAATGTATTCTTTGGTCTTCCTCTCCTCCTTTGACCTTCAGGATTCCATGTGAGGGCTTGTATTGTGACACAGTTGGGTGTTTTCCTCAATGTGTGTCCTATCCACTTAAAGCGTTTCTTCCTGATTTCTTCCTCCACTAGGATCTGATTTGTTCTCTCCCACAGTAGGTTGCTGCTTATAGTGTCCGACCAGCGGATCTGAAGTATTTTGCGTAGACAACTGTTAATAAGCATCTGTATCTTTTGGACGATGGATTTCGTAGTGTTCCAGGTTTCCGCCCCATATAGTAGAACTGTCTACACATTTGTATTGAAAATTCTGACTTTGGTGTTGGTTGCCAATTGTTTTGAGTTCCAGATATTCTTCAGTTGTAAATATGCTGCTCTTGCTTTGCCAATCCGTGCCTTCACATCTGCATCAGATCCACCGTGTTCATCGATGATACTGCCCAAATATGTAAAGGTTTTTACATCTTCCAAATTTTCTCCGTCAATTGTGATTGGATTGTTGCATGCTGTGTTGTACCGGAGAATCTTGCTTTTCCGTTTGTGTATATTGAGACCTATTGCTGCTGAGGCTGCAGCTACACTGGTTGTCTTCTCCTGCATTTGTTGTTGCGTATGCGATAGAAGAGCCAGATCATCTGCGAAGTCTAGATCATCCAATTGCATCCTAGCTGTCCACTGTATCCCGTGCTTTCCTTCAGATGTTGATGTCTTCATGATACAGTCGATCACTAGGAGAAAGAGGAAGGGTGACAGTAAGCAACCTTGCCTGACACCGGTCTTTACTTCGAACGACTTTGTCAACTGTCCTCCATGCACGATTTTGCAGTTTAATCCATCGTAGGAATTCCGTATGATATTGACTATCTTCTGAGGCACGCCGTAGTGTCGAAGAAGCTTCCATAGGGTTGTTCTGTCCACGCTATCAAATGCTTTTTCGTAGTCGATGAAGTTGATATAGAGTGATGAATTGCATTCAATTGATTGTTCCACAATGATCCGTAGAGTTGCGATGTGGTCTGTGCACGATCTATCCTTACGGAATCCTGCCTGTTGGTCTCGAAGTTGTGCGTCTACGGAGTCCTTCATCATGTTTAACAATACCCTGTTGAAGACTTTTCCTGGTATTGAAAGAAGAGTGATTCCCCTGTAGTTGTCACAGTTGCTGAGATCGCCTTTCTTTGGTATTTTGACTAGAAGTCCTTCTTTCCAGTCTTTTGGTACCTGTTCCTCATCCCAGATCTTTCTGGAACAGGTACCAAAAGACTGGAAAGAAGGACTTCCAGTTTGTCTTTTGGACTCACATCTGCAAACACACCATATGAATGTAGCTTAATGTATAAATCCCCAATATTACGAATTATAATACGTCAGTCTTTTAATTGCCATGATATTTTGAAAAAAGATTATTTGTCTGGAATTCGTCGGTCTTTATGTTTGTTTGCTTGTCATCTGACATAGAGTTGATAAGGTCCAGTCCAAAGGTGGCATATTATGAAGATTGTGTTGAAAGCATAAATTTTTCCTCAAAATTAGGAGTTCGAGATGTGATCAGTAATTTTTTGCGTTTTTAAATTTTGGTTTTAATAAAAACCTAACCCGGTTTTCTGAAGCCACCTTCACATGACAAAAATCCGTGTAAAACTTTGTCCATGTTAATCATTTTTAGGATTGTATTTTCCTTTTTTTGTGCTTGTAATTAGTAGTCTATTGATTATGGTTTTCTACTGGTGTTCAAATTTGCTTACCGTTTAATATCAAATATTTTTAAGCGCAACCGCTTTATTACGCATCCTATAATAGTTAGAAGTATTAGAATTATTGTATTAACTAGGAATTGCCGAAACAGTGCAATATAAGCCAAATAGAACTAGGTGAGCACAAACAAACGTATTGTACTTAGAATTCAGCCAGGAAACTAGTACAAAATAATCATTAGTTCATATAAGCACCACATATTCTCTCTCACGTTATTCATTTGAGAGAACCTTCACCATTAATGCTGTAGGCTATCAGTGTTTAACGACGAATTATCAGAAAAAAAGGAAAACCTTGAGTCTATTATTTTATTTGGATCTAAAATTAATTGTATATCTTCGACTAACACTTCAGAATTATGTATAAGGAACACAACAAGCTCGTCTACTAAGATCATTGCAGAATATTTTTTGACTAGTAATTTCTTTTAGTCCTGGTTTTATTGCATGCAAGCCAATGTTTAGCACAAACTGTTCTTAAGACAACTCATAATCATCCGTGTGATATAGTATTTGTTAAATGATCCTTGGTTATGAAGGTTTAGCACTGGTAAGTCGCAGGTACCAATACTTATGACCATGGCTGGTTCCGACCCAAGGGAAAACGCGTAATGGTCGTAAATATCATTGTTTAGGATTCGTAAAGGTTAAGCCATCTCAGATATAACTGTGTAAATTGTCGTTGCATAAAGATTCCCTTATGTAAATGCTCAGTTGTATGGAAGTAAATGTTACTTCGAAAAACTAAAATGGGGTTAATATAGCCTCGAAATTTCATACATTGAAACAAAAACACATTAATTTTGTTTATGTACAACAGTTTTCATTGTCAGCCTACCACGGCCGTATATAATGTTATGCAGTCCTTCAGTCTGAAAAAAAACAGAATCGTTTCGAATGTAAAAAATGAAACTGAAATTACTTAAAAATTATTTATTGGACTACATTTACGCACATGGTGGCCAAAGATTGTTCGATGCACTACATGGCCTTAATATACGATATTGTAAGTTCACAACCGTCTGCAGTGTGACAATCAGTCAAATAAGACCAAGTCATTTAGCTTCCCAA